TATCTGCATTTCATCTAAAATCATTTTGAGAACCACCCAAGATCATGGCTGTGCACACATCTCACGATTTGGGAAGCACAACAACGAATGGTCGAGACTGGGCCTTTGCTGACGTGCGGCGTGACTCAGCTCTCCGTGAGGAAGGTTCTTATCCCAGACAGGCCTGGGCTCTAGCCACACTGTCACTGAGGGCTCCCACCAGAGGGCCTGTGTCTCTGTGGTCCCCTCTATCTGAAACGGTCCTCCTCCAAGTACCCACTCTGTTGCAGAATTCAGGTCCCTGCTCCACATCCTCACGGCAGAGAGGCTTTCTCTGACCACCCTGTACGATGTGCGAAGCCCTTCCTCACCACCAGACACTGTTTTTCTTCATAGCGGTAGTATTCACTCATTCGCTTCTGTCTATCCCCATCAGACTACAGCATATGGTGAGCTCTAGAAGAGCTGGGGCTTTGTTTCCCATAACATCCTAGTACCTGATGTCAACACTCAATATTTCCTCAATGAATAAATGAATCCCCTCAATTGATCTGGAGGTCTTTCACATGTCTTTATTTCCTAGTGCCTGGTATCTAGTTGGTCCTCAGGCTGCGTATGATAATCTCACTGGGGATCTCTGCAGACTCTGCCCTTACCACAGGGAAGGGTCCCACCATGGATGCTGACCCACCACTCCCTCATGAGTACACAGGATGACACAAAGTGAACTCTACCCAGCCACAGCAGAAGTGCCTAGAGAGACCACAAGCTAGATGAACTGAGATCAACACCGAACTTATTATACGCAGAGTAGGGCCAATTCATGGTATGATTGGAGAATCCCAGGCTGGAAATCTCTCCAGTAAACCTATTACAATCCCTAAGGTTTTTGCCATTATTGCTCATAACTTTAGATGCATCCAAGTATACATCTGAGAGCCAGAGTAGATCTTGAGAGAGGAGCTGATGTGCCTCTGCATGGTCACACAGGGCCAGCTCCGAGAGGAACAGGCTGAGCCCTGGAGCTCTTGGCTAGAGGGAAAACAGACCAGCCCTGCATCCTGCGCCAGTGAGGGCAGCCAATGTCAGGGCATAGGGTCTGCGGTGAGGACCGGCTCAAGCGCAGGCAAAGTTGAAGCAAACAGCCTCAGGAGGCGAGAGTGTTGAGGCATCTGATGCTAACATACCAGGCACTGAGCTGTGTTCCAAGACATCTGTCCTTCATCCTCGCCAGTGGCTAAGAGGACGTAAGGCCAGAATCTAGCCTACAGAGAAGGGGGGGGAAAAAAACTCCCAAGCCTAACGTAAGACTGGAATTAAAGGCAAAGTTGCCAGGCTGACTGGTAAGTGAGAATCACAGCAGAGACCCAGTCCCACAAACAAGGCCAACACAGTGGAACAGGGAGTCCTGGGGCCCAGGAGTCACTCCCACCATGACTTAGCCTAAGTCCCACCAGCTGGTGGGACCAGGGCTGCCATAAACCTCTTTTCCAGACCCAGACTAGCTCAGGCACTAGGGAGAGCCTGTCAGCAGACAGGGCCCACGAGCAGTAGAAAGCCAAGCAGGTAGGCACACGCTGCCTACACCCAGACTCAGCACTGTTCTCATCTCCTAAAAGACCAGACAGGAGCCCACAGACGATTGCCAGCTGATCTACTGTCTACTCTGCAACCTTGGCCAGCAACGGACACACTGTGAAGTGTCCCTTCGGCAGTGCCAAGCTGGATTAAGTAATTTTATTGCCAGAATTTCTCTTCTAAAATATAAGAGTCCTCACAGGGTGAGAAAAACACAAAATCAATTATGCATTAACATCTTAGACTTTTTTTTTTTTAAACATAAATAGGAAGACCCATCAGCTAGGTAGGCTCTGAAAGAACCAAAGGTTTAAGGTGCTCTTCTATGTTTTGGGATTTGCTGGGAGTAGTTTAAGAGACCAGAGAAGATTAAGATACAACTGGATTCTTCTCTAATAAAAAGCAACTAAGTAGGATCTATCACCAAATATCAAAATTTACAAGTGAAACACAGAAATTAAACAAGCAAAGAGGAAACCAGGATTCTCTGAGAAGCCCAAAACAAGAACACTTTTTAATAAAATTAAATCAGTTCATTCTTGGAGACGTTTCGGCCTTTTGGCCAAAGAGAAAGCCATTCCTGCCCATTGGTTCTCAGACATCCCAGGAGGAGACCACAAATCTACACAAATTAATTAATAATGACAATGAAAATGAGCAAAAGATCAGACAAGGTTAACATATACACATAATATATAAACACCACATCTTCCTACAGTTTAGTTCCTCAAAATTCAAAAATGCCTTTATAAAAATTTAAATGGTCTTTTTAAAAGCTTATTAAAATTACTCTTACAACAATGGAGAAGCACAGGGTCCTGGGAAATAGACCTCTGCGTCCATCAGCATTTTTTACGGAAATATTAAATTGAAGGCATCTCAACTCTGACAGTCCAGGATTTTCAAAAAAAAAAACAAACAAAACTTAGGTTTTCAATTAATTAACTCCCAATGAATTTTAGAATTAAAATATCACCATCAACTTAATTAAACATTGAAAGTTTAAGGTCCCAAATAAGAGAAGGCTGTTAAAATATATCTTTCCCAAATAATTAACTAATTAGTTAATTTAAATTAAGTCTATCATTTCCTCCATCCCCTATTCTCTCACACACATTATATTTTTTATTTATATCTTTATATATCTTGCTAAAACTTATGGTATTGCAGATTTTCCGTAAGTGGATTTTAAAAGTGATTTTTATGAGGGAGAAAACTACAAAGTGAAGAATCGAATGATAAACTTCAAATTCAGGATTTACCAGTAAGTAGGGGTTGGGGCTGAGGTAGGCCTAGGAAGGAACACCCAGGGTCCTCAAAGGCAATGGTAATATATTTTTTTAAAACTGAGTAATGGGGAGACAGATGTTCACTGCACCATTATTCTCCATACCTTACTTGTATTTTATAATCTTACTTAAAATACTCAATAATTAACAAAACTTATTTTAAAAGTAAGTTTATGTTATTATCATTGCAGAAGGTATACAGAAACATATGTAAATCAAACTCTCTTGAAAACATTTTTCAATAGCCGTGTTACTCGGACAAAAAGTAAAACAAGAGCACTTAAAATTTGTACAGTAGCCAACCTATCCTTCCATTTGAACACTTCCACAGAACTAACAAATTAATATTTTTCATGCAGACACACTCAATTTTTTCTCACATTATACTGTTTCATTCTGCTTACTTTAAAAAACTTTAGTTGTCCCTCCACTTCCATGTAACTTTCACCATTTGGTAAAAAACATCATAATTTTTTTCTTGTTCTCTAAATAAATCTGAAAAAATTAAAATGGGGTCACACCTCTATGAACAACATACAACAGGATGAGTTACATCACCCAAAATGATTGTAAAATTAAATGAAATATTTTGGTAGTAACGGGGTTTCGGTTCGCTTGTTTTGTTGTTTCCAACTATCTGGTGCCAAGAGGAATCTCTAAGTCAAATACAAGGAAAAGACACCGGATACCCTAATACTTCTCTTAATGTGTCCCCAGGTCTTTGTTATTTATTCTGCTTTCAGTAAAGTGGTAGAAATGTCTTAGATACTTTAGTTTGGATTTGTTCACACATCTGAAGTATTTAATTTTGTAAGGACACTCGAACTTGAAAAGTCCTGGGGCCCGGAAAGGACAGCTATTTTCAGTATTTCAAAAAGCCTAAAACACATTTACCTGTAATTCGGCCATGCTAGAAAATGAAAATGTGTTTGCTTTCTTCCCCTGGGCTTTAACCAAGCTTTCCTAAGTTCAGTGGTTACCTCACGCAGAGCAGATATTCAGACATATGTCATTAATAAAAATAGAAGGATTCATCATGATTAGTTAGTAACTGTGGTCTGAAAAATCATTCAAAATATGAGGTCCATGAAAAAGAAAACCCCAAAACAAAAACAAAATATGAGGTCCATGGGGCAAAAATAATAAAATTGGTCTTTTATTACTGGCATTTGTTTTTTAACCAGTTTTGTTGGTATTTTTAAAACTGCAACAACAAAGTCTGAGGACCACTGTCTGGGAGGAGTTCTAACTATCACTGCTTTCAAAATCTCCGGAGAATGTTGATTTCCTAACTATTCCAAAATTTGCAAAGTCAACTTTCAATTTTTTATTTTTTTATTTTCTTTTTTAATTAATTTATTTTATTTTATTTATAGATTTTTTTTTCAGGCAATTCAGTTCTCTGCTCCTCCAGCTTTGTAAAACAGTAAAAGTCATGGAGTTGTTAAGAGGGAAAATGTTTCACATCACATCTTCTTCCTGCTACAAGCCAGGCTCGTAGCACTGGGACTGTTTCTCTTCTCCATAGCTTCCAACTTTCTTTAAAATCAAAATGTGACCCTCCCCAAACTACTATTCTTATAACAGTAAATGCTCTGGGTGTCTGAACAAAGCCAAACTAAAAAAGACTGACTTTAAATCAATAACCTTTAAAAACTTACTTAACCAGCTTTCGAAATAATCCCCTTTGGCCATGCAGGATAGCCTAGGGAACAGGTGCAAGGCGTGCCTTCCTAGAGGCTGTCTCCTCCTTCATGAAGCTGACCTTTTCCAGCAGCTCTGGCACCCCACGAATCAGTTATCAGTAAGCCTAAAGCCTGCTTTCCCATCTGCACTTTCCAAATGGCTCCCAATGCCAAGCACCGAGATATGACCTGGCTCTCAGATGAGAACATGCCTCCCAAGTGACTTGCCAAGTTTCCCTGGAAGCATTTTCTAAATGTATTCTCTGACCTCCCTCCTCACCCTCTAGATCACAGCTCATTCTTCCTTCCCTGCACTTCCTAATTCCACCTCCTCATCCTGTGCCTCCAACACCCTGTGCCTCAGTCCAAACTCCTTACCCACCCCCAGCCTAAAACCCCACCTTCACATCCAAAGGACACAGTTTCGACAATTTTGCACCTGGTTTGCAGTGATCTTTTTGAGGCCTACCTGCAGGCAGCTCAGTTATGGATTCTTCCCTTGCCTTCTCCAGCTTCTCCCTAACCCAGGGAAATTCCTGCAAGGAATCTAGGAATGCATCAAATGCTTTAGGACCTCTGGAAGGTAGGATATCCAGCAGCAGCATTGTTTTCCGGAGGCCTGTGGCTTGAGCTTTGATTTCTTGAACATGGTTTTCTGTCAGGACCCCTTCCTGGTAAAGATACTGGAGAACCAGTCCCTCCACCAGTACCTCTGCACCCAGCTCCAGGCGAAGGGAGCGAAGCACTTGCTTGTCTCTAGCCTCCATTTCTCCCTGGGAGAAGACAAAATAGTAGCTCAGATTACAGGGAGCTCACCAACCCCTAAAGACAGTGTCCTACATGCGGTGCAAGCTCCTTAAGGTCAGGTACAACTTGGAACCTTAGCAGGGTGCCAGGCCGTGGTGTTTGGTACACAGCTGTTAAGCCAAAGCGAAGTAATTTTGAATGTTTCCGAACATAACGAACAACCCTGAATACGAATCATCTTTTCTATTTTTGCTTTCCACACAATGGAATCCTAGCTCCATTCCTTGCTTGATCAAGAGATTTGGAAAAAACTGGGCCATGGACCCTGCTTAAAAAGCAACTTTGAAAATTACAGAGCAGCTTTTCATTTTAACATACTTAAAAAGAAACGGTGCCTTTATTTTAACATAGCCTTCATCAGATATACCCCAATACCAAGGAAACTGCCAATAAGCATGCAGGTGCTCTTCTGACCGTGGGCATTTGCTGAACCTGCATAGCAATGGGAGTGGGCGCCCGAAACCGGTAGGTACCACTAAGTTAAGGTTCTTTTCCCTTAAGAGAAAAGCCCTATACACCCTCACCTCCAAGAAAAATATTTATTGTGTGTGCCTCTACAGTAAACCTTATATATGGTCACAGACTCCACCCCTGCCCTCTAAGAATTCCGAAACCCTATCACAACACTGCCCGGACCACACACGTATGGGACATTTAGTGGGGATTTCTTTTTTCTTTACAAGGAAAAAATGTCCACACGCCAGCCCTGGTCAGTAGCCACGCACGATTTTAAGGCCTGTGTTCAAGACCACTGCCCCAGTTTGAGGGCGCTTGTGCGGAGGCTATGAAGGTAAAGAAGCGGCGCGGAGTGGGGGGGAGGCGGCAGATGGCGCTTCCAGGCACCCACAGAAAGTTCAAGCGGCCGGCGACCCGACCCCACTCCTTCGCGCAGCCCTCGGGGAAGTCGGGGAAGTCCGGGCGGTGGCAGGTGAGGGGCAGGGTGTGCGCTTTTGGCTGCCAACGCCCATCTGGAACTTTTTATTCCCTGCCTCGCCAGCTGAAGTCCTGTTGTGTTACGAACAGGAAGAACTAGGAGGAATTTTCGGGGCAATCTGACAAGCTAAAAAGTGGGTGCTGGCAATGATCCTCAGAGCGGACTGAAGGGGTAGCGGCCCCCGGCATCCCTACCGCCACCCCAACCCGGGCCCGGCTCGGAAATGCTGCGAACAAATTAGCGGGGGCGGGGAGCCACGCAGGGCCCAGGCCGCAGACTCCACCGTGCGGGGCCTTAGAGAAAAAATGGATACGGGGTTTCTGATTTCCTGTTACTTACGTCTGCAAACACGTATATTAAAAAAAAAAAAAAAAGAAAGAAACCGCAACCGGAATCCAGACTGTTAGGGAACCTGTACCATAAGCACCATCTTTGTTGAAGGCGAAAGCCGTGAACAGGAAGTGTTGTCTCCATCTTTCTTAAGGGCAAACACAGGAAGTGCTGTAGCCATCATTATTGGGGGGAGGGGACAAGTGTCGGACTGAAGCCTTTTCCGCCATGTTTGCTGTGGGTAAACAATAAAGCGGCCTGGAGATGGAAAATAGCATCACTTACGGGGTTACCTAAGGAAAGTAGTATTTTAACACAGAACTCCACAGTCTTGCACACAACTGACATAATAGATGGTCAGGTCTCAAAAGTCACCTTATCGGGCGCCTGGGTGGCTCAGTCGTTAAGCGTCTGCCTTCGGCTCAGGTCATGATCCCAGGGTCCTGGGATCGAGTCCCCACATGGGCTCCCTGCTCCGCGGGAAGCCTGCTTCTCCCTCTCCCACTCCCCCTGCTTGTGTTCCTGCTCTCGCTGTCTCTCTCTGTCAAATAAATAAATAAAATCTTTAAAAAAAAAAAAAGTCACCTTATCAGCGTAGCCTTCCATGACCACTCTATTTAAAATTGCAACATTCATCTCCTGCACTCCCCATCCCTTTTCCAACTTTGTTTTTGTCTGTAGCATGTACACCATCTTATTAAAACCTTTACTTAATTATCTGTCATTCGTTTCCCTCCACTAAAATGCAGGGTCGTTTATATCTTATATCACAAGAGTTCCTGCCCACAAAGAGATTATACATCAGTAAATTATTCAGTTACAGCAACCAGCTAGCTACTCAGGAAAGAAAAGGATTGGTCACGGGGAATTGGGGATATTCACAATCATTAGAAAGGCTGGAAGAGGCCTGGGCATCCGAGAATGACTCCCTAGACAATACTGCCTAACTGACCACAGTCGGGAAAGCCGATCCCCATCTCTTCTCAACAGACAGATCAAGTGACTTGACATCCCCATCTCTTCTCAACAGACAGATCAAGTGCGGAAAACCCAAGGTCTCCACAGCTGTATTTGCCAGCAACATCAGAACAGCACCTGCAAATCTTACTCTGATGTTTGCAATTGGTGAGACCTATTTCAAATGCAGAACATTCGCAGCAAGGGTGTCTGGAGCATGTGGTTTGGAGTTTTCCAGCTTCTGAAGCACAGAAAGACATTCTAAAAAGAGAATGGCTGTTATTGGGGGGTGACCTGCTGAGTTCACCACATTTTTCATTGGAAAGCAAGACAAATGCATGATCCAAATATAGAGACATATCAGAATATCAAAAGGAGGGTCATTCCTGAACTCCTTTATGAAATGGGGCAATCAATAAGCATATTCATTGATTCACTTTTAAATCAATTGGGTGATATATGCAGAAAGTCGTATACCTGCTAAAAATTGGTTGACCGGGTAACAGGAAAAATACCTCAAATATCATTATTTCTATAAAGGTTCTCTCAACCAACACCGCTAGTGGAAGATGAAAATCTTTGTAAGCAAATCAATGGAAAGCAATTCTAAACCTCCCTCCTCAAAACCTTTTTGTAACCAGTTTAAAGTGTTACTATACCAATATACCATTTTATTATACCAGTGGTGACAATTTTTTTAATGGGTGGCAAGTATTATTATTATTATTAGCATTTTTTTTTTTAAGATTTTATTCATTTGACAGAGAAAGAGAGAGAGCACACAAGCAGGGGGAGTGGCAGGCAGAGGGAGAGGGAGAAGCAGGCTCACCACTGAGCAGGGAGCCCGATGTGGGGCTCGATCCCAGGCAGCCGTTCAACAGACTGAGCCACCCAGGCACCCCTATTATTAGCATTTTACATATGTGAAGACTGTGGAATCAAAGTGGACAAATGTCCTAGTGAAAATTTCACAGCTAATATATGCCACACCTGAATTCTAACCAGGTCCTTCCAATTTCATGCCCTTTCCAATACCCAGTTTACCACACGGCCATGTACGGTGAAGAGTCTGTTGTTCTAACGACAACCAGAAAATTGACAAATCATTCTGGTGCCACCTCCCACTTGATACTCCTGAGTTCCTAGTACTCTCTTCACTCTCTACCTATTTTTTTCTTTTCTCTCCTCTGGAACTGCTTTCCTTTCCTGGGAAAGGTTTATCTTTTGTATGTGGACAGGTATTAGCAACATTCTCTGCCTTCATCCAGATAAAGTGCAGACCTCTTGCGATACTAGCAATAGCTGAGGTTACAGACTTTTGGGTGTAATTTTTCCAACTATAAACTTTGATAATTTTCAAACATATACTAAAGTTGAAACATATGGCACAAAGCACACCCATATAAAACTACCTAGCATAAAACACTTCCTAATGACATGTTCTATTTGGAAAGGCTTGAGATCTTCTGGGAACTAGAAAGAGACATTGATGATGAGTCCAGGGAGCCAAAAGTGAGTTCCATGAGAGTTCACAGAAGAGAAGAAAAGAGTGTAAGAGGCAGCAAGAGAAGAGTTAGTGCAGGAGCGGAGGGGCATGGAGTCCAGATGGTGAGCAACCTAAGAGGTTGGCTATTAAGGATCTGACTTTTAAATCCATAAGGTGAAGCCCCTGATCATTAAATCCCTCTTCCAATGGCAAATTTAGATGAGCATTCATGTTGCCCTGAAGCAACTAGGCTGACTGATTGACTAGCCAACTACCCTCAGTCAGCTCTTTGCAGGATCACCACCCCACATTACCATACAATGATACTTCTGAGCAGCAAGCCAGAGGTTCAGCTTCACTAATATAAATATCTAAGGACAGCAGCCTAAAACGTCAAACACAGATCAGAATCACTATCACAGATGATTACTCCTCCGCTCTGTTTTTTCCCTCTCTGTAGGCTGGAAATGTGCCCCCACAGAGGATTAAGCACCTGTTACCCAGTGGTAACAAATCTATTTTCAGGAAGGACAGATATTTCCCTTTTTCTCTTTCCCCTACTGTGTTTACTTGTGTCAAGTTACCCATTGTTAGTTTGCAAAATAAAGAGTCAAAAAGAACAAATGTAGTATTTTTCTGTCTTCCAATTTGGTCTTTAGTTCTGCAAATTTCAAAACAAAAATCAAAGGAGTCAGACATTTTCAGTTCTTCCTGTTTCATGAATGTGGAAATTAAGCCATGGGGAAAAAGAGATTCTTTTCAGGCATACTTGAAACAGTTACAGAAATAGATCATGACTTAAATTACAAAGAAACTTCGATAAATTCCAAAAAATCAACAGCATACAAACTATGTACTCCACCATTTCACAATAAAATTAGAAACTTTAACAAAAAGATACCTTCAATAAATCCCATAAGCTTAGAAACTAAATGAAATAACTCTTAAGGGGTGCCTGGGTGGCTCAGTCGGTTAAGCATCTGCCTTCAGCTCAGGTCATGATCCCAGGGTCCTGGAATCAAGCCTCACATCGGGCTCTCTGCTCAGTGGGGACTCTACTTCTCCTTCTCCCTCTCCTTCTGCCCCTCCCCCTGCTTGTGCTCTCTCTCTCTCTCTCTGTCAAATAAATAAAAAATAAATCTTAAAAAATATAAAAATAATAAAATAACTCTTAAGCTCTTTATTAAAAAAAGAAAGCCACACACTTCAGTTGGTACAGCCATATGGAAAATAGTATGGAGAGTCATAAAAAAATTAAAAGTAGATCTGTCATATGATTCAGCAATCCCATTTCTGAGTATAGATTCCAAAGGAAATGAAATCAGTATCTGAAACAGATATCTGTACTCCCATGTTCATTGCAGCATTATACACAATAGCCAAGATATGGAATCAACCTAATGTCCACTGGTAGATGAATGGATAAAGAAAATGTGAGATTATATGTATATGTGCCTGTATATTTTTGACTATACATATATTTGGCCCTTAAAGAAGAAGAAAATCAGATCTATTAGAATGACCAAAACTGGGGCGCCTGGGTGGCTCAGTTGGTTAAGCGACTGCCTTCGGCTCAGGTCATGATCCTGGAGTCCCGGGATCGAGTCCCGCATCGGGCTCCCTGCTCGGCAGGGAGTCTGCTTCTCCCTCTGACCCTCCTCCCTCTCATGCTCTCTGTCTCTCATTCTCTCTCTCAAATAAATAAATAAAATCTTTAAAAAAAAAAAGAATGACCAAAACTCAGAACTCTGACAACACCAAATGCTGATGAAGACGTTGTGCAAGAGGAACTCTCATTCATTGCTAGTGGGAATGCACAATGGTAGAGCTACTTTGGGAGACAGTTTGGCAATTTTTTACAAAACTAAATATACTCTTATCATATGATCCAGCAATTGGTATTTACTCAAAGGTGTTGAAAACATGTTCATACAAAAACCTGACACGAATATTGATAGCAGCTTTATTCATAATTGCCAAATTTGGAAGCAACCAAGATGTCCTTTAGTAAGTGAATGGATATTTATACTGTCACACATCTAGACAGTGGAATATGATTCATCCCTAAAAAAGAAATGAGTTATCAGGCATGAAAAGACATGGGGGAACCTTAAACACATACTACTAAGTGAAAGAAGCCAATCAGAAAAGACTCTATACTGTATGTCCCAACTATATGACATTCTAGGAAAGGCAAAACTATGCAGACAGTAAAAAGATTGGTGGTTGCCATGAGATTGGGGGAAGGTATGAATAGGGGAATCACAGAGGATTTTTAGGGAAGTAAAAATACTCTATGCGATGCCATAATGATGGATACATGTCATTATCCATTTGTCCAAACCCAAAGAAGGTAGAACAGCAAGTGTGAACCCCAAAGTAAATTATAAACTTTGGGTGATTATGATGTGTCAATGTAGGGTCATCAATTGTAACAAATACTACATTATACTCTGCTAGAGGATGTTGATAATGAGGAAGTCTATATATGTGTGGGGCAGGGGGTATATGGCAAATCTCTATACCTTTCCTTCAGTTTTGCTGTGAACCTTAAACTGCTCTAAAAAATAGTCTTAACCAAAAAAAGAGAGAGAGAGAGAAGGCAATCTTGTCATACACTACAATATGGATGAACATGGAAGTTATTATGCTAAGCAAAATAAGCCCGATACAGAAAGACAAATACTGCATGATCTCACTTATATG